AATAGGTTCACAAAGTTCCCAAAAGAAGGTGGTATTTCACCAATTAAACTGTTTCCTGACAAATCAAATTCAATCAATCTTTGAAGATTTCCCAGTGAAGTTGGGATGTTACCAGAGAATCGATTCCTAGCCAAACCAAGCATTTGTAGCATTCCCAACTTGCCTATTTGAGGTGGGATTTCACCTGATAACAAGTTATCGCTCAAATTTAGCAGAGACAAGCCACGCAAATTAGATATTGAGGAGGGTATGTTGCCATACATACGATTCCCACCCATGTTCAACACTGAAAGATCCTTTGAAAGATTTCCAATAGTTTCTGGAATTAGACCCTCCAACTGATTATCGTCGATTGCCAAGTAATCGAGATGCGAGTTGTTCATCAAAGAACGTATAAAACTAAGTCCATCATCACCGATGCTGACGATCTTATTCGACCCAACATTGTAATATGAAAGTTGAGGGAGATTTTCCAAACCTGGTGGCAGCGTTCCATGAAAATAGTTATGAGCAAAGCGTAGGATTTGAATTTTGGTCATGTTGTGGATTGAATGAGGGATTGTTCCAGTAAACTGATTGAAGCAAAAGTGGAAGACTAAAAGATTGGAGAGATTGTCTCCAATGTCAGCTGGAAATGTTCCCTCAAGTCTATTGGAAGCCAAGGCAAGGGTGAGTAATGAGGACTTGTTGAACACGTTGGGTGGAACTATGCCAGAGAGATGATTGAGACGAAGCACAAGATGCTTGAGATTGTGAAGCTCACCGACTTGGCTTGGTATCGATCCATTCAGAAAATTGGTCCCTAAGTTGAGAGTAACGAGCGAGGAAATGTTCCCAAAGGCTGTGGGGATTGTGCCGTAGAATTGGTTTCGTGCCAAGTTCAAGACTTGAAGCTTGGTTAAAACACCCATCTCTTTAGGAAGTCGATCTGTGATTTGATTTGATGTCAAGTCAAGACTCTCAAGGGCTGGCATTGCGGTGAAGTTGAATGGAAACCCACCTTGTAAGTCGTTGAAACTCATGTTTAAAACTCTGAGCTGCGAAAGATTATTGATTTGTGTAGGGATTGTTGCTGTGAATTGGTTGTTTTGAAGTTGGAGAGATTGAAGGAAGGAAAGGTTTCCAATATGAGGATGTATGGAGCCCGACAGCCCCATGCTAGAAAGATGAAGCTTAACCACTCTTCTGCTGCCATATTTGCTGCAGCTGACACCAGTCCAGTTGCAGGGTGATGAATTTTGGTTCCATGAGGACAGAGAGGTGGCAGCTGAGAAGCCGAGTCGAGACTTGAATGAAAGCAACGCCATTTTGTCGGTGTCGATGGATGAACCAACGACACCAAGAAGTATGCAGTTGAAGAAAGCTACAGCCTTAATGAACTGAGCAATTTGAGGAGTAGCAGCCATGTCTAACTAGGAGTTCTTGACAATGGGCGTCAGGATGAACTGAATGCTTCTGTTTTAAGCTCCTAATTAAGCTCGCCTGAATACACCGATTCAGAAATGATACGAATTTTCTTTTTCCAAAACACACGCTGACTAGAGACAATCTACCATTCGTTGATGGATTAATTTTCTGGCCCAACTCTTACTGGTCAACCCATACAAATTTTTCCTTTTCAAAGTTAGAAAAGAAAAAATGGAAAAATAGGTCTCTCGAGATCTCATATTAGTTTAAGAGGGAAACGGAGAAAGCCCAACGAAGACAATATATGTCAACGGTGGGGTTGGATAGCTACAAATGGTATTAGAGCAAGACACCAGGGTGCAGAAACTTTTTCCTTGTGGAATCGTTTTTAAAACCTTGAAGAAAGCAGAAAGAGAACAATATCTGCTAGCGGTGGGCTTCGACTGTTTTTTATAAATGAATATTCCACGTAGGACGATTAGTTTTTGAACCTCTAGAAAAAAAAAAAAAAAAAAGAATGATGGTTGTGTTTGTATATTTTCCAAATTTGATTTTTATTGATGGTTGCTTGTAAATAGGATTCACAACCGAACTCAATCCTAATTTTAAAAATACTTTAAAGATAATGAATAGTTGACTTCTGTAACCTATGTTAGTAATGTGTTGTAACTTGTAAATGGTAAATATTTGATGTTTGAGTTGTATGAAATTTAATAATTAATATTACATATATTTGGATAAGTATGGATCGTCTAAAATTATTTAAAAAATAAAAAATAAAATAAATAACCGATCCAACCCAATTCATTTAAAAAAAAATTAGGTTAGGTTGGGTTGGGTTATCGACCCTATTTGAAACGTTCGATAAATCGAAAAACTCGATCAGCTTAATTTAATCTATTCCGTTTTCGTTGAGTTATAAACTTATATAGGTTGGATAGATTGACATATACAAAAACTTATGAGCTTGTATTTATTTATTTATTTATTTATTTATTTGGCAGAAAATGAAATCCCGGGCAAAAGGCGTGGAAGTGGGGATGAAGAAGGGCCCATGTAAAAGCCCAAAAAAGAAGTGGCCCATTTCTGGAAGTGGGGATGAAGAAGGGCCCATGTAAAAGCCCAAAAAAGAAGTGGCCCATTTCTGGAAGTGGGATGAAGAAGGGCCCATGTAAAAGCCCAAAAAAGAAGTGGCCCATTTCTGGAAGTGGGGATGAAGAAGGGGCCCATGTAAAAGCCCAAAAAAGAAATGGCTCATTTCTGGTCCCAAAACTGTTAAAATCTTATATATACTATAATCTAATGAAATAGTGCAATTAAACTTACAGTTCCTGCCAGCGTGGCATGTTTCCAAGCCCAAACAACGTCGCTCTTATTCGAATATAGTTTTGATTCCCTTATTTATGTCAGACGTTCATTAGTTTTTGCCTCTTAATTCTTAAATCATATTCTATTGAAACGTTTTTTATTTGACACAATTTGTAACGTCTCAAAAGAGGATGAATTTGAATGAACATGAACAATTAATTATATCGAACTTCTAACGATTTAACCCTGAGAAATTTTAATTCAAAGATGGGTACTTTAAATCAATTGGGCATTATAATTAACTAATCGAGACAAATTTGATTCATTTAAGCATTGAATTTATCGAACATAATACAAATACTAATGTATAAAAGTTTATTAAAAAAATTATAACCACTCCCACGAACCGTTTTTAAATTTAATCATATAACATCCTATGTTACCTAATTTCATTTAATTTTGTAATATTTTAACGATATTCAACGAATATAATTTGATAGACCAAACCAAACCATAAAATGGTCAATTTATTTGGGCTAATAAATAAAAGAAATAGGGGGAAAATCAAACCAAACCAAACCAAACGAGTGGTTTGCATATTACATATACGTCTTAGTCACTTTTAATTCTTTTTTCGTTTAATAATTATTTTAAATATTTTGTCATTGGATTCGACTTATTTTTAAATAATATAAAAAAAAAAATGTTCGAAGCAATATTTTCTAGAAAATAATTACGACATTCTCGTTCAACAACCATTCATAATTTATTATAATGTATAAACAAATCTTTAAAATATCGTCATTTTCATTAATTTCTTCAAGTATCGCCAACTTTGTTAATTTAATTAGAAGCAAAACAATAATAATGGTAAATGGTTAAATTACCTCACATACCCTTCAAAATAAAAAATAATAATTGACGTAATATGAATACAGATGCATATTTATCTCATGGGGTCCTCTGGGAACAGGTACGAGAGAGGGAATGAGGATAACATTTTCTCTATTAAAGATAAATGAGGCCGGAAAATACAATATTTTTCGTTCCCATCCCAACCCTAACTTATATAAAAAACATTCATTACGAGCGACTTGATCTATACTTGATCTATGTGGAAAATCTCTACTTCGATTTGTATAAAAATAAATTAAAAATTTCATAGAAACGAGAATGAAAAAAACTTCTCCGTCCTTATTTCATTCGGTATCTCCGTGGTAAAATAGAAAATTAAGCATTATTACCATTTTTATTTTTTAAAAAATATAAACTTTTGGCGCATGCTTGCCCACTTGATCATTGAACTGCACACTTTACACACCCATTTTTGCATTTTTTTTTTAGAATTATTTACTTAATTTCAAGCGTCTAAAATCAAATTTAATTTTAAGATTGATAGGACGAAAATTGTAATTCAAGTTTTTTTATTTTTTCGGAGAATTCAGTGCATGACAGTAAACAATAGATGTCATGTCAGTCCCTGCCGAGAGTGTAGAAAATCCCTACATAAATAAAGAATCAAGAGAAAATAGAGAGATTTTTACTCGTTAACTAAAATAAACCAAGGGACAAAAATCATAATTCGCGTCTCTATTCCTACCTAAATCCCCACTTCGCCTCACCCGACTCATTTTATATGTTTATTTATTTATAAAACACTATATTGTAATTTTAAAATTTGAATTTTTTAGAAATTTTATTGGATATTATATTATATATATTTTTTGTTGAAACTAATATTTTTTAAAAAGAAAATACAAAAATATAGGAAATATTTTTCCTGATAGCTCTATGCCGGAAACGTGCCGCCGTTGTCCCGGCGAACCGGCGGTCTTTTTCCGGAAGATTAGATATCAGCGTTAGATTTCTGTTTCAGGGTCTTCGTCTCGTTTTGTCGTGACGTAGCAGCCCCATTTTCCCAAACTACCAATATCTTTCCTTCTTTAATTCCCCAAAAAATAAAAATAAAATTAAAAATAAAATAAAATAAAAACTTGCAATGCACGTGAGGATGATGGATATTAATTAATTAATTAATTAAATATATTGTATTCGAGGGAAAATAAAAATAAAAGAAAATAACGGCTTATGATTTCCAAATCTTTTTCGAAAAAGAAAAAAAAAAAAAAATCCCATTTAAAGATTAAATGAATTATTTTTCAGATATTATTAAAAATTTAGAGTTATTTCGGTATTATTAAAAGTTTAAAATTATTTTTGATATTAAATTAGGTGAAATAAAAAAATAAAAAATAAAAGAAAAACATTGCGGTGAGCGTTTCCTTCTTTCAAACGGCATCACTTTATCTTGTTCCTGGTTTGGTCTGAAACATTGTGTAGCTTATGCTTCTTGTTTGCTTTTTAGCGTGCTTTGTTCCCACTGTCTGAGAGACTCCTCTGCCACTCCCTTCCTCCATTTTCCTCTGCAATCTTCCAATAACATCACTTTCCCCTGTTTCTCTTCAACCCCTTTCTTGGGTTATGGACAGAAAACAGGGCTTCTTCTCCTCCCTTAAAGACGAGGTTGTTAGGGGCCTTTCTCCCGGAAAATCCAGACCCAAATCCCCTCTTAGGAGTACCTCTCCGGCCGCCAGTTTGCGCCGCCGGAGGAAGACTGCCCACCGTCTCTCCCGCCATGAAATCTTCTTCGGGAGATCCGGGAGCTTGAGGCCTGCCGAGGCATTGTCGCCGTTGAAGGAAGGTCCTGATGATACGGACGGCGAGGATCCCAAAATGGAAGGGAGATGGGCGCAATGGATGAAGGGCCAACTCTGTAGAGCTCCCTCTGTTTCCTGCTCTGCTTATAAACGCTCCGATCTACGGCTTCTGCTTGGGGTTTTAGGTGCCCCGCTTGCCCCTGTTCATGTTACCTCCTCCGAGCCTCTCCCTCATCTCTGCATCAAAGACACCCCCATTGTCAGTCCTTTTCCTCTCTCTTCCATTTCTTTTGTTCATAATTTACGCAATTTCTTCACACCCATTTCTTTATTTCATCAAAATTTTGGAGGATTTTGCTACTGATTCAATGCGTTGGGGAAAACCCAGTTTAGATTGATCCATTCCATATTCACTTGTGATCATGGATTGTTAGGATTGTATGCATGTTCGTAACATCTTCTTTGGGTGATTATTTTGTGTTTTGTCTAGTTGAATGTTGATTCTTGGAGCTTTGTATGTATCAATGGTCTGAATTTTCTGAATAGCATGGTGTTGGATGGATTCATTTGCAGGAAACTTCATCTGCACAGTACATATTACAGCAGTACACTGCTGCTTCTGGAGGCCAAAAGCTTCAAAGCTCTATTCAAAATGCATATGCCATGGGAAAGGTACGAATGGTAGCTTCCGAGTTTGAAACTGCTAACCGAGTTATTAGGAGTCGAAACTCCTCGAAAGATGCCGAGTCGGGAGGGTTTGTTTTATGGCAAATGAATCCAGACATGTGGTATGTAGAGCTTGCACTTGGTGGCAGCAAAGTTCATGCTGGTTGCAATGGGAGGCTTGTATGGAGGCACACACCATGGCTTGGTGCACATTGTGCTAAAGGGCCTGTTAGACCTTTGCGGCGTGCACTTCAGGTGAAGCCATAGAATGCTCTTTTTCGGTCTCTCACGTCGTTATCTTTGTATCGACATCGTATTCGATCATTTTGCTTAAGTATCTCCAATTTTCAGGGACTTGATCCTAAAACAACTGCAAGCATGTTTGCCAATGCAAGATGCACAGGGGAGAAGAAGATAAATCATGAGGATTGCTTCATCCTTAAGCTCTGTGCAGATCCCGCAACGTTGAAGGCCAGGAGCGAAGGGCCAGCTGAGATTATACGACATGTTTTATTTGGTTATTTCAGTCAGAAAACTGGTCTCCTAGTGCACTTGGAAGACTCTCACTTGACCCGGATACAAAACAACGGAGGCGACGCAGTTTACTGGGAGACCACAATCAATTCATTTCTCGATGACTACCGACCTGTTGAGGGGATTATGATCGCACACTCGGGACGTTCGGTAGTAACCCTCTTCAGATTTGGAGACACTGCTATGAGCCACACTAAGACCAGGATGGAAGAAGCTTGGACAATTGAAGAAGTAGCATTCAATGTCCCTGGTTTATCTGTAGATTGTTTCATTCCTCCAGCTGAACTAAAATTCGGTTCAGTGAGTGAAGCTTGTGAGCTCCCTCAGGATCAAATCATTGACAATGCTGTAGCAGCATGTCATGCTAAAGTTGCTGCTCTCGACAAGCTTGGCGACGGTCCTGTAATCTGGAATACCGACTCGTAAGAGGACGACGACGAGAAAAGGGATGAACTGTTGATAGTAAATTATTGTACTGATAGCAAGCTAGGTGCTTAGAACTCCTTAAGATGATTAAATAGCTCATATAGGAACTGAGATCAATACCCTTTTATATTTGTAAATAGAGCATTGCCATTCATATAATTTTCCACTGTTTCTTTATAAACTGTCAATACTCATCCAAAGAATACTTATGAAATTTAGTTCCCATTCTGCAAGGTCAGATCACTTTCTCCCTGTAATAATTAAAGTTTATCCTTCTTACCCACTGCAATCAAACGTTTGTCTTTGTAATCCATATTACATTTGAGTTGTTACAAATGACATTAGAACTAGATACTGAGAAGTGTGCTAGTGAGGACGTTAGGCCCCAAAAATGGTGGAGTGTAAGATTCCACATTTGTTGGAGAGGAGAACGAAAACATTCCTTATAAGGTGTGGAAGCCTCTCCCCAATAAATGCATTTTAAAACCTCGAAGGGAACCACGAAAGGAAAAGTATAAAGAAGCCAATATCTACGAGTGTGTTTGACATGTTACCTTCTCTGTTAGATGTCAAAATCCATCCAAAGTCAGCTTTGGAAGCACTTGTTTGCATAATTGCTGAGTTGTATTCCCATCAAAACAGTGATGAATTTGAATGAGCAGAAGGGACTGTTGATCCTGAGATGATGCAATCTGCTGCTGCCATTATTGGGAGGTCTGTTCAAGCAGCTTTTATTACGTTTTGAAGAGCAAATGAGAAGCCATTATTGAGCTTAAACCTTACACTCTACATGTTAAATAATGGAGTCCCATGTTGCTTTCCTTTTTCCTTTTCCACGCAAACTTCAATTCTGTGGAATTTAACACTTAGTACAGATAAAAAGCCAAGATCTTTTCAATTGCTGAGGTCCCAATCATTATAATCAGAAGACTATGCCCACCCACTCATAATTAGAACTCCTCCTTCCTTGCTTTATCTCGAATCATTGCAGCTTTAGTGTCATTCAAAAAATTAGTTCAAACTCAAACAATTCTGTGCTCGGTTTGCTAATGAAGTATGACGAGAAAACCTCTCTATAACATACGTGTTTTAAAACTGTGAGGTTGACGGCGATATGTAATGGACAAAAATGGAAAATATATGCCTGCAATAGACTTGGACTGTTATAGTTTCAGTCATCATCGACCGAGACAAACAAATCCAAAGCATCCAATTGTGAAAACCCATCCTGAAACCCTGACGTTTGTGTCAACTTCTTAGCACGAGCTTCAGACTGAACGAAATATGAACAAAACATGATATCCGCACATTGTTGTGTCGATACCTTTTCCCTTCTTTTGTACTTTGTGATCCATTATTCAAATATTTCACACCCCTTTCTCTGTTCTTGTTGTTGCAGCTTTCTGCACACAGGAAGTATGGCGAAAGTTGAGGTATATATAAACTAAAGGGCAATGGCTTCTGGCTTTACTATAGTAAGTCTGTGGTCCCTCTCCTTCTTTTCTACACACAGATCCAACTGGTATGCACATTCTTTTTGTACTTACCACCTAGGTGGTACTATGATGACTGATTTTAAGGTTGTCGTAGTGTTAAAATAAATTTACCATAGCCTATCAACCTAAGTTTGTGGATTGATCGGTGGTTTATCATAATATTAATGTAACGTACTCGCAACCTTGTGGTTGATGGTATCTTTAAATCTTTTGGAATGTTGTTTGAAGATAGGGGCAGCTAGCTAGCTAGTTTAGCTCTACACTTGGAACCTAGCTGGTTAGAGGGTTCTTTATTCAGACAATATGATGACAAATTTTACTGGGGAATCTGAAACTTCTGTTTTCTTTGCTCATATCTTCTTCGTTATTCCCCTTTCTTTTGCCTAATGAAAGAAACCCACGTGCCCACAAGACGAGCTGGAATCAAAAAATGGTTCACTGAGTTACCTGATAGCGACGAACATGACGACCATGTAATTGTCCTTAGTACACTTTGGCATGTAGCCATGGCTCAGCCAACTGACAGAGAATACCCTTCTCTTGGTGTCTTTGAATGCATGGGGAGCTTGATTCAAAGGGGCCTAAAGGACAAAAACTGGCTTCTTAGGGACCAAAATATCTACATCCCATATTATGCAGCCTATGTCATTGGCTCCTACACCATGCACAAGGCTGAGTTTGCAGAAAAAGCAGTGGAATCAGGAGTTATTTCACCATTAATGGAGCTTTTGAGAAGAAAGATAAGCTGGGTTGAACAGAGAGTCACCGTACATGCACTTGGTCACCTCACTCGCTACAACTCAACTTTTGCAGCCCTTAGTGAGTCAACTCGAGCTTTGTGTTACTCAAATCCAACAAATTTTGACAGTAAAAGTTTGTGGAGAAGATCACAGGCTTATGACATGAAAGGAGGGTTAGCAAAGGAGAGCTTGATGGACTGTATAATGTTTGTCAATGGCGGAATGAAGATGGGCGATGAGAGAATCAAGATCCCATATCATGCAGCAGCTAGAATGATTAGCACTTCTTGCATCAGCTAGATTAAAGAACACGAGCTAGCTGAAGTTCGATTAAATATTGCGAGTTCGAGAGATCTATTCTATGATTAATTTCGTGCAAAACTACACTTAATGGACTTCATAGTGAATATAACGAAAACGGAAAGTAAAAATTGCAATACATGTAAACTTATTCAAGCTTCTCCACTTAGTACTGTTCGAGATAAGCCCGTGGTGGGTCGAAGCAATCGACGCCACCAAGGATGAGACAACAAAACATCACCCCCTTCCCAGCTTTCAAGATTGTTGGAATCGAACTTTAGAATTGTTGTTATAATTCGTTTGAAATGTAATATTGTGTCAACTCAACAGTCTAGCTCAAAATTTGTACAACTTATAGAAGATTATAAACATCAAATAAGTTAGTGACACCAAGAAATTACCGACTGGACACATCCTGAACTCTTCAGCAGCAAAATAGAATTTGGTAAACAGTGCCTTTCAAGTATTTTTCAAGGTTCAACTATGGCTACATACATCTTAGAAAAAGTTTAATGTACAACACACCTGTGCTTAACAAAGATGCCTTGGCACGGTCGCTATCCATTGTCCTTGACACTACAAGTTGTTGAAGAAAAATGGCTTCTCATAGCACACGAAGAACAATCAGAACTGCAGAAGGAAAGAACAGAGGTAAGTCCCAATTCCTGCTGAGAAAATCGTGCCAGAAAAAGAAAAGAAAGCATCCCCCTCCTCTCCTCTAGATTTTATAGAACTAAAGCAGTATTTGAATGTGATGATATGAAAAAAAAAACAGTCAAAACTACCGCCCACACCACACTACAAGAATGGCAACACGTATCGACCGACGACATCTATGATAGGTAGACCACAATTACAAGAGAAATCTGTTGTCCCAAGAATAAACTACATATAAGAATTCAATGTTACAGCTGAAGTACCATTTTAACAAAACCGTGCTCGGTCTTTTGCCCAGAATAGAATGTTTTTACTTCACCACAGGGAAAAAAAGTACCATTAATCAGTCAATTGAATGGGAACCAAATCAATCATTTCTACCACCAGAAGCAACACCCTCGCCATGACAAACAAAAATGTGCGAGCTATCATAAATCGATCTGCCAAAAGTGCCTTTTTGGGCTTCCTCTCAAGGTTTTAAAACGCGTCTACTAAGAAGAAATTTTCACACCCTTGTAAGGAATGCTTCGTTCCCCTCTCCAACCGATGTGGGATCTCACAATCCACCCCTTTTGGGTCCCGATGTCCTCGCTGGCACACTACCCGATGTCTGGCTCTAATACTATTTGTTACAGCCCAATCCCACCGCTAGCAGATATTTTCCTCTTTAGACTTTCCTTTTCAGGCTTCCCCTCAAGGTTTAAAAACGTGTCCACTAGGAAGAAGTTTCCACACTCTTATAAGGAATACTTCGTTTTCCTCTCCAACCAATGTGCGATCTCACAGTTGGTTGGTTGGTCGGTCAGTGTAACAGTTTCAAAACAAATAAAAATGAACATATGATATTAAGTTTCTAACATTTGGTAAACCTGAAATAGAGACTTGACTTGCATCAAACCAACTGCCCCAAAGTTTATTTTGCAGGTTTTGATCTTGCACCCAGCACACCCTTCCGCCATTCATCACAAAGATTATCGATACTGTTTCTCCCAAATCAACACATATATAGCGTAACGAGCCAAGGAGGACGAATATTAACAGAAATAAACTTTTAATTACAGAAGTTTGTTCTCTACAGTTGAGCGGTCGGAGGTTTGGGGACGAAAATTTTTGCATGTACACCACTAATAATATTCCCAATAAATTCATATTAGTAGTTCTAAAAAATCGCCCAATTAGCCCCAGGAATTGTTATCAAAGCTCATGGATAACTAAAGGACCTCAAAAATACAACTTAATAAAACAGCATTTTCCCAGAAAATAAAGTATGAATCAAATTGCATTCCAAGATTCTAATATACACAGCCATTGCTTCTTGAGACACAGATACAAGATTAAAAAACATGTCAAGAAGAATAAGGCCTGACAGATAAAAGGAAGGCATACCGATTGAGATAATGAGAATCGTTGAGAACGTCACTTGAACAGGCCGACTATACTGCATTTGATATAGAAACCTTTGAAACTGTCTTTGAATAGATCCGTACCAGCCATAGAGTTGCTTATCGTAAAAATCATCGCAACTATCTAAGCAACTCTTACTTCTTTCATATCCAGCAATTATACCCTGCACGGAAAAGAAGAGAGCTATAATCTAGTAACTAGACCAGGACATCGAGCTCGTAGTCATCATTATGAAAACAAAAACAATAGAAACACATCCAAAACAACAACAACAATTGAAAAAATGCATACCCTAGCTGATTGAGGAGATTGCAACAACATCGAACTAGTTTCTTGAGGCCTATCAACTACTTTCAGCTTCCTAAAGGCATTCTTTGGCCACTTGAATTTTGATGCAGACTCAACAGCATTTAAAAACCCTGAAACACTCGGGATCTTTCGTATAAGTTTCTCGGGTTGTCCACTTAGAGAACATTGTTGGAAATCAACCCCAGAAATTGCAATCTTCCAGGAACCAATGTCAGGACTAGCACTAGCAGTCCTCCGGTGTCCATGGGACTTCTCCTCTATATAGTCATGAGAATTACTTGAACAAGCTGGTGCCAATTCTTCATCGGTCCCTTGTGGATTTTCATCATCACTAACAACGTTGTTAACGGTTTTGTCTTCACCTGCTGAAGGTCCCGAAAGAAACAACGCAAGCTCGTTGCTTTCACCTTCATCCAGCTGCATCCAAGGCATTGAGGATTCTCCCTTTGATTGAGAAAAGTCTTGTAATGAACTTTGAGTTTTTGAAATCTGATCCTCAATTGCTACAACAAACTCCCGGTGTCTATCTCTCGCATCATCGTTCGTGCTATTAACATAACTCGTTTTCACGGCACGTTCAAACTCGTCTAACTGCGTTGGCAACACAAGTTATAGCTATTTTAGCAGAACTACGATGCTGATAAGTAGAATATGAAAGAAACTAACGCACAGATAATTAAGATGGGATTCTTGCAGGATGGGGAAGGAAATTAGGGGTGAGATCACCTGCCATTTTGTGGTGCCAAGAGCAGTGCGTAAATCTCTACCGATCTCATCACAGTTCCAAATGCTGGAGGCATCTTTCGTGGCATGTACCCACGTCCTATACGTTGATTCCATTCTGCGATACACAAACGAAAAAGACAAGGCGCCATGACTATCCGATCAATTAAACGGAGGATACCCATACCCTGTTCTACATTCATTTCTGGGCAAAATCTAAATCCATACAAAGAAAATGGGCAAATCCCAGAAATTCAAACAAAAACCAAATTAGAATGGAAACCATTTTGTTTCCTCCGTAAAATTTCGGTTCCTCCATAAGTTTCTCGTCAATATAAAACAAAAAGTACCTGTCGGCAGATTCTTGAACTTCCTCGGCGGCTGAGAAGAACGGATCCTTTTCCCAGCGATCGAAACTCGAAGCCATATTCGTTTGCACAAGAATCGAAAGAAAAGAAAACGAAAACCCCTAAGCCAATCTGGGACAGAGTAGGGAAGTAGAAAGAGTTTAGATTAGAAAAAAAATACAGGAAAATGAGGAAGAGGAGAAGCAGCAGCGGCGCGTGGAATTAATAAGGTGCAGAAGGCAGACGAGATTTTGGGGACAACAAAGCGCGTGGTCGACAGAAATCAACTTTCCGGTGATGGAAACAACCGCGAAGCTGGATCAACTCCCTTCACTCGACGCCGTTTGTCATCTTATCGCCTCCTTCAATAAAAATCAACCCTTTCTCTAAATTCAACCAAATTCAAACCAACCCATTACCACGCACCCGCCTACCTAAATATATCTCTTTTTTTTTTTTTATTTTATTTATAAATATCTTATTTCTTTATTGACATTTAACCTCAGAATTTAGGTTAGTCGGGTATGTGCTCGAACCATTAAAATAGAATCCAATCAAACTCTCTATTATTGCCAAATAAATTATATTTATCTACCATATATACGAACCTATCATAACATTCATATCATTAACATTCATTACAAATTTTAAATATTTTAATGTAGAATTTGATTAGATTGTAACTCTATTTTTAAGTTGGTCAGATTGACTCAACCAAAAAAATGTCAAACCTACAAACAAATCGAATTTTCGATTTTTTCAAAGATTTAACCGGACTCTAATCGAATAAAATTAACCCAACTCAATTTTTACGAATTGAGTTTGATAGTTCGGGTTGGTTAGACTATCGAATCATATAAACCTCCCTTTTGTTATTTACCGAACTTTATAGTATTAATTTATTTAGGTTTAATAGGTTTATGAATAAAAAAATGCTAAAAATAAAATATAATTTAAATTTTGTGCTGAATAAAATTATAAATAATAGTTTTTTTTTTTTTTTTTTTAATAATACTGTAAAAGTTAAAAATTTGATGAGAATGTTCCACCTTTTCAAATGGCGACTTCGCAACCACTTCATGTTAGATGGGCCTATAAAAGCCCATTTAATGTAGTGGGCTACAAGCCCAAGCTTCACTTTGCTAACATGCTAGGGCTCACTTTAACGGGCTTCTAACACTCGGTTGCTTTGCTTACTGCGTCGAGGATTGCTTGGAGGACATGGATGAGTGCGAGCAACTGTGTCTGGCGGCGCGGGGCGGCGACGCCGACAAACTCCGAGCTCTGATAGATTCCGGAGCTGATGTTTCTCATTTCGACGTTGAGGGCCTTACCCCTCTTATGCACGCAGCCAAGCATGGCCATGCCGACGTTGTTAAAACCCTTCTGGATGCTGGTGCGCCATGGAATGCGCTCTCTCCTTCCAATCTTTCTGCTGGGGATTTTTCTCTCGAGGCTGGTCACCAGGAGGTCTTCCAAATCCTTCTTAATGCGGGTACGTGGATTGTTATCTCGTTTCTTTCCTTACATTCCCTGCTGATTCTAAACTAGAGTAAGACGATGTTTCGTTGACGGCTTGTGCTGTGTGTTACTGTACCGTAAGAAATTTATGATTAGTTCTTGGGGGAACTTAGCTTATTAGTAAGTACAATAGGTGCAGGTGGTTTCGTTTTCATTCTATTTTAATCCAACTTTTATGAAGGATCAATTTGGTCCATACCCATATTTTGTTTGTAAAGGATCAATTTATTCTATTTTGATCCCAACTTCTATGTTTGTTTTGGATCTTGGGCAATCTAATCCCTTTGAAATGATGTTTATATCAGACTGGGATTTCTCATTACTTTATTTCAATGTGAAAGGGATTCAAGCCGAATTGGTTCTTGGGACCATTGCTAGGAAAGAAAGCCAGAATGATGTATGCAATGGGGAGTACTTGGAAGATAGAGTTACTTTTAGTGAAGATAAGGTGATGGATGCTGAAAGCAAAGCTGTCATGATGGCTTGGGAAAAACCATTGATGGAAGCTCATGCTAAGGCTATTTGCATGGGTGGTGGTCACGTACTGAACGTTGGATTTGGAATGGGCCTAGTGGACACAGCCATTCAACAATACTCGCCCACTACACATACAATTGTTGAGGCTCACCCAGAAGTTTATAAACGCATGATTGAAACTGGTTGGGCTGATAAGAACAATGTGAAAATTATATTTGGTCGTTGGCAAGACGTTCTGCCTCAACTTGAATCTTATGATGGTGAGTCATTTATTCTTTTATCCACTCTAACCGTAATGTTCCATGTTTCTTTTCAGTATCTAAATTGGTCTAAACAAGTTTGAACTTAATTTCATGCTTATTGAACTTAATAGTTGGATGAATTTATCCATCTTCATAATGAATACCTTCCATTTATTTTGCTTATAGTTCTAAAAGTTTCGAAATCTAGTCGGCTTTTTGTGCTCTCCACTTGTTCCTTTGTGTACATTTTAGTATGATTCCAAGAGCTTATTTTAATTTGGTTAGTCATAACTTCTATGCCATACTTTATTTACGATTAATCAAACTGAATTTTAAATTTCCTGTTTTTTATGGATGGAGTCATTGAAAAAAAAAACGTTTTCCAGATGCTTTTCAAATCTTTTGCTATAAAATATTACATCGTTACCATTATGCTATTAATTTCTTCAACTTAAATGGTTACAATTTTCATCACGTTCTTGCATATTGTCATTCAAATATAAACATCATTAACTAAAAATATTTTCGATTGCAAAATCATTGATGTGAGTGGAAAAAATTAACTAAAAAAATGCAAGGCTCCATGTAATAAATATATCCTCAGCGTGTCTGTCTGTATATCGCGTTTTGTTTATCATATACCTGTTTAAAGAGACTTCATACCCTTCTTTTGTAAGAGAAATGTATTTGGTCAATTGTAGTTAGTTATTCCTTTGTCAGTTCCAAAGAACTGGTCGTTTCAGGTTCAGGCAAAGATGGAGAACTGTTTGCCATAAATGCAATAGGCATTGGAAGTGAAGCATTGTAGTTTTAATCCACTTTTCATGGGTGTTATAAGTTGATGTATGCTTTCTGCTCTTCAGGTATTTTCTTCGATACATATGGAGAATACTATGAAGACTTGAGAGAGTTCCACCAACATCTTCCTAAATTGTTAAAGCCTGGGGGAATCTACTCATTCTTTAATGGTCTTTGTGGAGGTAATGCATTTTTCCATGTTGTTTATTGTAATATAGTTTCTCTTGAACTAGAAAATCTGGGCTACTCCACCCAATTCATTCCCTTACCCGTCAAGGATTGTTTGGAGGAAGATGTCTGGAAAGGAGTTCAGCACAAATATTGGCAACTTGATACATATTACCTTCCTGTTTCTCAGTCTGCTCAAGACTCTGAATCATAAAATTAGTCTGATTGTGTCTGTAATGGCTGAAGGAAAATATTGGACATTCAATTTTCAAGACCAAGGAAATTGAAGTTATGATATATTGTGTTTTTTTTTCTGGAAAGTTGTTCCATAACTTTACAATTAATGCATATGGGACCTAAATTGCCACGAAGAGGTCCTCCCACTTCATGGATTGAGAAAACTCACACACATAGATTCATAGCTTTACAACCTGCTTGCTTGCTTGCCTACTCAGGCGGCTAATTAAATAGTGGAAAAAAGTTCCAATGATTCATTTTAACAAGCAGGTATGAAATTTAAATCTCCTCAATGTCATAGCCGCTGGATATTTATTTGAAGGTTTCTTCCTTATGAGTGCCTACTTTCAGAATAGCTTCATCCTAAGTAATCGTTCTCTTGTCGGTATAGTTGGCTACTTTGTAACATCCTTAGCCGCTCGATATTAATTCTCCGAAGTGCCTACTTTCTGAATAGCTTCATCCTATTTAATTGTTCTCTTGTCGGTATAGTTGGTTACTTTGTAACATTGATACAGATAGCATTTTTATACGAAAAAGAGATTCAAAGTCAATAAGTTGATGCATTTCATGCATCTCTTACAAATGTTTGACTGCATATCTCTCGTGCAAATAATGGTTGCATCCAATTTCAGTGGGATTTTCAAATGGGAGAAATCTTGATTGAAGTTAGAAACTTAAAAAGAAAGCCAATCAACAAGAACTCTGTACAATAATTCTCCACCTTTGTGTTCTTTCTTTCATGAATATGATGATATGGTTAAAAATAAAATAAGGTACAGATGAACAAGCCAAGACATTGGCAGGGCTTGGAGAAGGGATACAGGCTAATAAGTTATTAAGGAGACGACAGGTTTTAGCTTCCATGGAAATGGATTTGCAGAGATTCTTCTGTGTCTATGTCCAGGTGAAAGCAATGGGGCTACCCACTATGTGTTTCCCATCTGACCATTCCAGACGAGCAAAGCTCTCAGTCCCCGACGGCATTGGAGAAGCAATGAAAGTCACTGTATAACTCTTTTGCTCATTTGCCTCTGCAAAACTCAGAGTTTGTGGCTCAACGACAATCTTCACCGACGGACTTTTCGACGTCACAGTGGCCTTATATGTTGATGGGGTGCCTTTGTTGGTCAGTGTTCTTGTGTATTTTATGGTGGTCGGTGCAGCGTTTTCGTCTCCTCTGATTGAAGGGGTCTCCAATGGAACTGCAAAAGATGGGTAGTTCAGATCCTCCAATCTGTACTTGTTCCCACTGCAGGTGAAGTCCTTCTTGGTGATTACTTTGATTTCAAGTGAGGTGTAGTTTAGGGCGCAAAGGAAGGCGAAGTAGTCATTGGTGGTGGTGTCGTAAACAAGGCCGGGATCGAGGGCAGCCATTGGATTCACGTGTCCGGCTCCTATACCGAACGGCGTCGCCGGTAATCCCTTGGATACGTCTTGAATTGCTTCGCCATTTTTGTATGTTGAGTATGCTGTGGTCATTAAGGCAGATCTAATGGCGGCTGGGCTCCAATCTGGATGAGCAGCTTTCAGAAGTGCAGCTAATCCACTGATGTGAGGGCAAGACATTGATGTGCCGGAGATTATGTTGAAGGGCACGCGCGGCTTGCTGCTGTCTGAACCGGCCGGAGTGGCGCCACCGATCCATCCGGCTAGAATGTTCACTCCTGGTGCTATTAGATCGGGTTTGAGAATCTGTGGAGTGAGGAAATTAGGGCCTCGAGAACTGAATGCGGCCACCACCGGCGACGGTTGAACTCCCAATCTCGTGGTGCTGCTACTGATCGTTGCTGTTGGATTCGCGTTGGAGGAGATGTAGTTCTTTATTGCGTCGCCGGCTTTTTGACCAACGGCCGCCGTTGGCAAGAGATGTGCATCGGCTAATTGTTCCTCTCCGTATGTGTCAGTGTTGGCTAGAATCATTCCGACGCCACCGGCGTCTTTCACCACCACCCCTTTCTGGATTCGGGAGTTCCCTCCTCTGTCACAGACGACTATTTTTCCGGCCACCTTCGCCGGATTCAGAGTACTGGTCAAGCAAAGGCTACCACTAGATGAATTACTCGCTTCGGATGCATATACAATTGGTATTAAAGAGTCCGACAAGGGCTTTCCACTGTATAGCGACTCCCCGATGAATTTCTTCCCATTTCCAAGAGTAACGTATGTCGGGAAGTCTCTGTCGAGAGTCCCAGCGCCGACTGTGGTTATCCATGGCGCAACGTTCGACAAGCTACCGGATGATGGGCCACTATTCCCAGCAGAACATGACACAAAAACTCCCTGAGCCGCAGCAGAGAAGGCTCCAATGGCAACATTGTCTCTGTAGTAATCAGGGGATGATCCGCCAAGCGACAAAGACAAAACATTGACACCATCTTCAACAGCCTTGTCGATTGCAGCTAAAATATCAGAACCGAAACACCCTCCAAGCCAGCATACCTTATACGTTGCAACCCGAGCTTCTGCTGCCATTCCTCTTGCAGTCCCTGCAGCAAACCCAAAGAGGCTAGCTCCGGTTGCAGGGGATCCAGCAGCAGTCGTTGAAGTGTGAGTTCCATGACCATCGTCGTCCCTGGGTGATTTCGACTCCTGGGATTCATCAACTGCGCCAAATGCTGCCTCGTAGCCCCTTGAAAAGTATCTAGCTCCAATCAATTTCCTGTTACAATTAGACGAGTTAAAGTTCTTACCCACTTCACACTCCCCTTTCCAGCTCGGGGGCACTGGTCCAAACCCTGCATCATTGAAGCTCTCCAACTCAGGCCATACACCAGTGTCGAGAACTCCGACAATCACTTCGCCAACCTTCTCCGATGCTGGGAAGAACGAGACACTCTTCCCAAGTCCAAGAAACTCCGGCGTCCGAGTCGTATGGAGCTCGTACTTCAATTCAGGTATAACAGCAAGAATCCCTTCCTGCTTTTCTATTAACTTAGCTTCTTCCACAGTCAATCTCGTGGAGAAGCCATGAACCACTGTATTGTAGGAATAAAGCATTTGAGCTGAATCAGAAACTGACTTCAAAGAAGAATCATACCACTGGAAATGATCGTCGAAGGCTCGTGGCATGTCGGTTCGATCCATGTGAATTATGTAAGTCTCCTTCTGTGCTTCTGCAAATGAAATCAAGAACAGAAGGAACCATTGCAGCAGCTTCATCTTCTTGGATGTGTTTGAATTATGCGTTGTTTGGAGGAGAGGGTCGAGCTAAATAGTTTGAAGCCGAGCTCTGATGAGTGGGTCCATTCCAATCATGTTCACCTACGTGTGGAAAGAAAACACCAATAATTCTAAGGTTTGTCGTTCTTTTTTTCTTATAATGCTTACAATAACAGTAATTTCTAATAATAATCATTCCTTCCAGTAATTATTTTAATTTCCCATTTCTCGTACAACTTTTTTATATTCTATTTTGGCCTCAATGCTACGTTTTTATGGCAAAATATATGTAATTTACAACATAGGTGCATGATTTTGAAATAAGGATTCGGATCTGAATTTAGAATCCGAATTTGGCACTTGATGGCATTGACATTTTCCTAGAATATGGCCACGTTACTTCTTGCTTCTTAACCCCGGAGACTATTCCAATAATCTAACACTAATTTTGGTTTATTTTAGATGAAATATTGAAAAAGAAATATAAAAATGTTTATAGAATTGACATGATTAATTCCATACGAGCATAGTTAGTTCAATAGATAAAACACTAATTACCATTTTAAGCGTGGATTGTTTAGATACAAAGTTAGAATATATTAAAGGAGGATATTAATGCATTAATTATTTGAACCACATGGTATAGTAAGTCTAAGTTGGGTATTACAAAATAATTGCATGTATAAATGAGACAGAAAAAATAGGTAAAATTAAAAAGTGGGTGCAATCTTTTATTTTATTTTATTTTATTTTATTGTTTGTGTTTAGTCCAATTTGTTAGAGACCCTCTGCTTTTAGGGCACCAGAAGTCCACTTTAGGCAGAGTGCTTGAAATAATTGCCTAAATCTGTAATCAATTCTGGTGGGTGGGACACTCATTTTGCTTTTCCCTTCTAAACTTTAATCGGTTGGGTCGAAGATGCGGACTACGTGCACCTGGACAGAAAGACCCTATGAAGCTTCACTGTTTCCTGGGATTGACTTTGTGCCTTTCCTGCACAGCTTAGATGGAAGGCAAAGACCGAAGGAGCTAGAATTCTAACCTTGTGTCAGGACCTACCGGCTAAGGGATTTCCCTTATTTCAGGAGGTAAACTGTAGTAGGATTCTTCTTTCACTCTTAAGGACCAATAATGATTTTCTTGGTGCTTTACGTCTGTAAAGTTTCGTCAACCTTAGGTAATGAGGCAAGATGAGAATCAGGTCAAGCTCCGGAACCGGAACCCATTTATTCTTGAACCTACTTATTAATGATCCTGAACAGTAAGGAAAGAATAACCTCTCGATTAATGATCCTTCCCCTTCACCTCGTAAACTAGGTTTCACAATTCCATTCTCTGTCCCTTCTTTCACAGTAAGGAAAGAAGAAGAAGCAAGATGAATTAGACTGATTTCACTCTTTCACCTTTACAGTCGGTAAAGCAGCTTCTCTCCTGAACCTCGGCTTCTTTCTCTTATCCTTTCTTTCCTTTGATTCTGCTTGAAAGACTCAACTCAAGACGAAACGATAGTCTCAGGTTGACAGTTACCATGGACAAATTATGTTAAAACAATCTTGTGCTAATACAAGTAGCTAATGGGATTATGTCATTAGGGACTACCGAAAGCATCATAAACCAATCTAAAAAACGGGACATTACAAATTATAAAACTCTAAAAGTTATTTGAATATATATTTTCGCTAGAAGCCCCTTCCAAATATCTCGAACTCGAATACGAATTTATGATGAAACGTTATGATAATGTTTATCCTCATCCTCTTCTTGAGGAAGTTTGATCGAAACATTTCAACCAGCAATTTAATTTCGATGCCATAAGCTTTATATGCCTATAATCTATCTTCTTTCGCCTCTCAATTCACAGCAATTTGGACTGATAGTTGAAAGCCTAACAATATATAGTATTTTAAATGTTAGATCACGATCGCTACTCGTATGTCACATCTAGTCACTTTAATCTTCTTTTCCCTGTTCGTTTTTTTTTTTATCAACTAAGGATTCCATTCAAACTATACCCGTTCGATTACGATATTTTATATGTATTCGTGTTGTTCTTTTTTTAAGAGAATTTTGTGAACATAATTTAAATTTAGAAATTTTTAATCTCGATCTTATACTTTTTAAAACTAAGTAAATTCAATATCGATATAATTCAATAATTTTCTAAAACATAATTTCTAACTTTAAAAATATAATTTTAAAATAAATTAAAGAAAATATATAGATATGATAACAAAACAGAAATGATTTTATTTTTAATTGAAATTATGATTAAGAAAAAATCACTGTGGTAACATGAAATATAATCATGAGAAATAAATAATAAATACAATTTTAAAATAAATTTGTATTTATTAACTTTTCTTTAGTTTTTAAAATTTAAAATTTTCTAAATTCTCATTGAATTTTTTTAAATTAATAAATAT